CTTGCCTTCTTTGTTCTGCCTTCACCTCGTTCTCTTGTTCTTTTTACTGTCAGTCTTTTCTAGATTTGTTTTCATGCACTTGTGTTATGCGCATTTTCAGTTCAGTTCAAGGAAACCTGGACTTAAAAGCAACATCCGTGGTTTAATTTCGGGTTACATGTGGATTACAAGTCCATTTTTTTCATTAAGATGAAACATGAAAGCTTCCCTGGGCAGCGTGAAAGCGAACCTGCATCAGTGTGGTTCGGAAACATTTTTGTGGTTGCTGTCTTTTCTGTTTTTAACCCACCTCCTGAAAGCTGGTTAGATGAACCAATCAACTTGTTAGACATGTTGCATTGCTAGGCTTTAGGCAGTGTGTGCTTTGGCTCCTCTCCAAACATTTGCAACATACCCATAACACCCCTCTGTATGTAGATCCGCAGAGAAATTATGGAAAGTTTTGCAGAACTATAATTCCAGCTTTAAGTGAGAAGCAGCGCTGAATTGCCAAGATGTTTCTGAGATACTGTGGCTCAATGAATTATGTAATCTTCTCACATTCTCTTTAATATATTTGCTTGTGTCCATGTCTTTGACTAGGAAGGATCTCTGATTTCAACACACAAAACTCTGAATCTATGTCGTGGTATTTGATGTTCTGCACGTGTCCACAGATAATGTAGTCGTAAGCATCTAGTGACTTGTGTGCTCGTACTTTCTCCGCTAGGTTTCTCAATCAAATAGGTGTATATATCAGGCCACTGAATATTGGGCCACTTAGTAACGCCCTCTACCCAGTCACTAATACTGCACAAATCTGGAAGTTGTTTGCCACTTGCCAAAGTCAATTTGTTTAAGTAGCATTCGGGATCTTTGGTGGATAGTGCCCTTGCATAGCTTGACAAGCTGTTGTGGTCTGCCATACTTCCGTTGCACCTTGTCTACGTTATCATCGTTTACGAACTGCAAAAGGGTCTATCAGTAACTTTGGTATTTTTTAATCTTGACCCTATTTTCCCATGTTTTTGTGTCTAAGTGACCGAAGAATCCCCACAGAGAAAGACCTTTTTGTTCATGAGTAAAATCCTTTTTGTTTAAACAGAACTGCCCCAAATTCGCCATCTACAAACCCACCAGATTCTATTTAAATAAGCAGTAATTTAAGCATATATAGAGGCAGAATATTTTCACATCTAAGTGGGTGAATTAAAGTTTTATTTAACTAAACCAGAGTTGGTGATTGTAGGAACAGTGAGAAGGCAAACCAAAACAACTTTTTGAACTTTATTTGGCCTCTGTTGAATGAATTGTTGTTTGAATGAAGTGTGTTTTATGTTGATAAAATCACTGTTTATTTAAATGAAGTCTGGTGAGCTTAACCTGCAAATTCAGGGCTGTTTCAGGTTTTAAAAAAAGGATTACTCTTTCACAAAAAGATCTGTCTCTGTAGAGATCCTTTCCATAATGTTTTCAGACACTTAAAATAGCAACCTGAGCCTGTCAATGGCAAAATCATAAACTGACGGTGTGAACATACCCTGAGTGGTTACATTGCAGCCTGTTTAGCTTCACTACTCACGTTTCTGTCCTTAATATATATTCTTATAAAGGCTGTTGATGGAAATTTTTTGTTGTAACTTCAGAAATTTACCTGAAATTTATTCAACATTTTAATGGAAATGTAACATTTCTCTCTTCTGTCTTGTTCTTTCTTTGAACCGTCTACCATCTCCATCGCTCTCATCGTCTTTCTCCATTTCCTTGTTTTTTTTTTTTGTGACACTTTCTTCTTGGCTTCTCATATGTAAGCGGTTCCCGGTCGCCCGCCTTACCACCAGCAGCCTGGTCGTCTTTTATCCCTCTACTGATGGTCTGCATCACGTTGCGTAACACGGCAGCCTGCCAGCCGAGGGTTTTCCCTCTTCTCCAGCTAGATAAGGGATTATCCGCCATGCCGCTGGGTCCCCTTGGAAGCCCAAGCCTTCAATCCCATCCCAATGCTTTATCATCCCAGGCTCTGGCTATCCCAGTCAGATGGTGTAATAGTCTGGTGGGGGAGAGTGGAGGGTCAGAAAATATCCCTCTGTGAAGATCCTCTGCAGATGACTAACTGCAGTGCTCATGCTGGTGCTGGCATTTAGTGGAGTATCTTGGGGGTTTGACGGGAAGGGCCTCTGAAAATTATAAATGTTGAGAGAATTTTATTCCTCTCAGAGAGGAGTTTTTTTTTTTTTAGGAATATCAGTAAAACATATTAATCACTTTTCATACATTAGAGCAGGGCAATATGGACAAAATCTAATGTGGTGTTTTTTATTGGTCAATGGACAGAAAATTAATCAACAATTCTGACAATAAATTCATTGTTAAAATAATTTATCAGAAAAAAAGGGACACTTTGTTTTGACTTTTGCTGCTTTACTTGGCTTTATTTCATCGTAAATTTTATATTTGTGGGATTTTGACTGCTCTGACATGAACACAAATTGTGAAAATAGGGATTGCAATCTGTCTTCTTTTTCTCCATTTTATATTTTAAAAAGAACTAGAAGGCCACTTGGGGAGCACAGACCTCCGCTAAAGCCCAATGCCCTATCGCGCAATGCCCCTCCTCCCTTTAATGTCCTTATTGGCTAGCTAATCACCCCTGATTGGGCGGGCGTGGAAGAGTGGCGCTCATACAGCAGTGCTCATACAACAGTTTCCGCTGATAACGGCATCCTGACCCAAGGTGGTGGGACTCTGTCGTGGAAACAAGTGCTCACACTCAGGTCCAGGTCACCCAGCTGAGTCCAATCTTCTATTGGAGTCTTGGGTACCGAACTTTGGATTTTTAAGGATGCCAACCGAGTTTTCTTGGTACTACCAAATACAAATTCTTATTAAATCCATTGAGGCCAATTTTTGGTACCTCAGACTACATCTGGATTCAACTTCAGACAGGAGGCGGAAGCACCTTGGCCACCTTGGCTGCTCTTATCAGCTGCTCCGCCGAGCGCTCCTTTTGGCCACGCTCCGTCGGCCACGCTCTGTTGGCCTCTCCTCTCTGTCAGCTTCCCAGCAGGCCAGAATAATATCTCTTGCACCAATCTGCCATGATAATTCTGGCATCTGGTCTTATTCTTTTTTTTTTCTTATAGTAATGGCCAAGTATCGCTGCTAGACAAGCAATCACACACACACACACACACACACACACACACACACACACACACAGTAAAATACACACACAAGCAGGCAGACAGACAGACAGACAGACAGAAGATCAGTTCAGTGGGTGATAAAGAAAAGCAGAGAAGAAAACTTTTAAGTCTGGCTTTTTGGCTCGACTGTTTCCAACATGGCAGACGGGTCACAAATGTTCTCATTTTACAGCTAAACAGTACACCTAAATATGTTTCTGAACACATTCGGAAATGGCAATTTTATTTAAATTAGCACATTTTATTACACGTAAACTCACAGTATTCTTTACATTGAAAGACAACACATAGAGGAAAATACGAGAACGTAAGTCGCATAAAAATACATAAAATACAGTTTGAGTATGAGTCATCGACATAATAAGGCAGAGAACACAAAAACATCAACACAATCAAACAGAAACTGGACCTATTTCAAGAAATAGACTATGCAGTAACAGAATCTTGATTCATATTTGATCAGCGCTGCCTGGTTTGACAGTTTGGCCGCAGTTCAGGAGCAGTGGTTGACATGATTGACAGCTTCGTTAGAGACTCCTCGGCTCTGATTGGTTGTTTTTGTTCACATGAGGTGGATTCTTGCAAATGCCACCATGAGCAGTGCGAGGAGGAACATGATTTTTTTTTGGACATTTTCTGTCTCATGTATTACAGTGTGGATGTAGTGACAGTTTCAGCAACAAGTTACCAACTACAGCCTCAGCTTGAGTTATGAGTATGACTAAATCAGTCCATACGAGTTCTTCCACCAAAAAACACAATAGTTTATTTTTACAAAAAAGAGAAGATTAGTAAAAGACGCCCCGCACTCTGCTGCTGAGGAATCACTTGTCATTTTATTTTGAAAAACCCAGTCTTGGAAACTACTCCTGACATGAACCCGGCGCTCCCTGTGAGTTCCCAGGACTCTGACAGTTAGATAACGTTCAGTCTGGTCCGATGCCTGACCCAGCTTTGAGTTTTTAAGTCACGCCACCGGATTTTTGTGTTTCTGCTTTCAACTCCGGCCAAAGAATTTAAGATTTTAATTCCCTCTAATTGGAGAAATCTTATTCTCAGCCTCATGCAGGCCCCTTATTACACGGTCATATGATCTGAACACATGACCCACACACACATGGCCTTTTGTACCCCGCTTCCAAAGCTAGATTAGTTTGATTTGAAGTGTTACATAAGGGTTAAAGTTTGGCGCTGAGGTTAGATAATTAAATAACCTGACACAGAATTTGACAGACCTTTCTCTTAGCTTAAATCATGTTCATAAGACACAGACAGTCGAGGGAAGTGATCAGGATGACACACGGCTAAATGCTGAGCACAAACCAGTGATCACACCTGCTGGTTAGTCACTCCTCTCTTGCTGCTGCGTGTTTTCATGATCACATCTTTTACTCTGTGGAGAGAAAAGGAGGGACAATGCAAAGCGCACAGGTCAGCTCTGTAAGTGGGAGGAAACCGGCAGTTACTTTGAGTTCATCCTAAGTAATCAGGTGACTTTTTACACAGAGGAAGTCTATAAGATAGTTTGGATCGGGCAAAAGATAGTTTGGATCGGCTGATATCAACCCCCCACTCCGCAACCCTCCAGTGGGGAAAAAAATGGCAGTGACAGTGACCGGTAGTTGTCATTTAGGGCCATTAGTTCACTAGTCGCCTGCATGTTTACGATATTAATTTAATTATTAAATTATATATTTTGAGTGGGGCAAGACAATGGTTTGAGTTGAAGGTCTGAGAACAGTGTTGCCCTGTGACTGCTGGATGTGGAAGAAGGCGATTTTCTCACTATGCTTCACTCTTTTCTCCCCTCCTCAGCCATCATGTACGTGATGGGAGCACTGGGTCCAGCCGCTGGTTACCTGCTGGGGGGAGTCCTCATCGGCTTTTACGTGGACCCCAAGACTGTCGTCAACATCGATCAAAGCGACCCCCGCTTCATCGGCAACTGGTGAGAACAATTTTGCCACGGTACCAGAATTTTTAACTTCCATATAATATTCAAAACTATACTCAATATTTCTTTTGATACCACAGCAAAAAAGCAAGAAACTGATAGTCACACAAATCATTGATTATTTATTTCTTATTTTTATGACTCTGCACACAGTGCTGCTACAAAAAAAGTCACTGAACACATACCAAGACATTTGTTGACTGTAGAGCTGTTGTTATCAGTACTCGAGTTGAGGGGGGATGAGGGGGGATGGCATCCCCCTTGAAATAAAAATGGTCAAAATCATCCCCCTTCTAAAACAGCCATCCCCCCTTTCCACCCCTTGTGTCATTTTTGAATGAATGTGGTATTACTGCTATTTCAACATTTAGTTTTACCTTTGGTTTTATGCATATCAAGTAAAATACTGTGGGCGAGGGCATGCATGCAAAGATATTTATATATCGTATCTCAGCAAGCTGCGCCGTGGATGTTATGCCTGTGCCCTATAGAGGGCGCCCGAACGACGCATAGTGTATCCAAATCACATAAATCACACAAATTGTTTTTCTCTATGGATTTTCTCCGCAACCGTGCGTCGTACCGAGAAGACACTCATATCACGTGAAACAGCGGAGGGAGTAGTAAAAAATGTGAAATAGGTCATTCCAGCACCCACACTCCATGGAGGATATGCTATCTCACTCTTGTGTGCAGTGTCTGATTTTCACAGACATGAAATGTCGCGTCAATCAGCATCCTGCCAGCACCTTCATGTTGCGCAAAGGTGCAAGGGCCCGTTCATCGCTGTTTGCAGATTTTAATTTTTGTTTGTAACTGTTGCATAATCGTATGCTTCACTTGAGGGGGAACTTTACCGTGACTATTGGCATAACAGGGTGCCAGGGCCTAGGTGCTTTCACACACTCTAGGGTAATGTTTAAGATTAGGGTAATGTTTTCGTTTAAAGTAATGCGAATTAAAGTGGTTGTAATGGTTAAATGTGTGCTTGTGACACTAGCAGCACAAATGCAAACTAGATCAAGCAAACTAACCTGCTGGTTATATAGATATAAATGGCCCATTCTGTAGGATTTAGGGTCATCTATTGGCAGAAATGGTATGAAATATTTATAGCTATGTTTATATTATTGTATAATGACCTGAAAATAAGAAACAGTGTGGTTTCGTAACTTTCGGATTAGTTTGCATACTGAAATTGCTACATTGTGCCACAGTTCCTAAAAGCAGCACTCAATCATATACAGCAACCTTGAAGGCAGAAATCTGATGAGAAATGTACGACCATATCTACCACCTACTGTAGCTCTACATTTCAACCGAATGTAGTTTTTCTACTTCAAAAAAAGTGATTTAACAGCAGTATTAATGCTGGCCTCTAATTGAAAATGATATGCTGCGTAAATGTCTCCATCATTCAAGTAACCCAAAAGTTCAGAAGAGATTCTGTCCACTTTTAGGCATTGCGGCAGATTGACGAGCCCACCTCATATTTAAACATGGCAATATGTGTGTCATTTAATACGGGCTAGTTCATGCAGTGCTAAATAAAACTCTTAAAACATACATTATATAGTTTTGATTGTTTTTATTTTATTTTTTCCAAATTAACCGAATCTTATATTATGATATGTGGGAGAAACCGGAGCACCCGGGGAAAACCACACATGGGAAAACAGAACCTCCCAGAGACATCAGTGCTCACCACTGAAAATGAAAATAAAGGACTGTCTCACAAATCCAAAAGCTAGAATGCTAAAACTCACATTTGTTGTGTCAGAGGGCATGTAGCCTGGAGCTACAAACAATACAGAACAATCAGGTCACCAAAGGAGATAATGTAGTGTATCAGAAAGAAAAGAAGCAAACAATTATATTTTTCTATGTGGCATGGGGTTACAGTAGTCCATGGGTGGGGGATGAAGAGGGTGGGAGTCTTTCCAATGTTAGTCAATTCAGTCTAGATAGGGAGTGGGGAAGGTGTCTTGTCAGTCAGTCCATAGGGCACAAACAAGTCAACGGCGGGAAATGATAAAAGGGTTCATTAGCGTTGATATCAGAAAGGGAGTTTCCAGAGTAACCTAGTCAGTCTTACAACATTAATTGACATTAAAAATTCATCTCAGTAGTGAGCAAATAAGGGAAAAGAAAAGAGGCATTATTCGATACCATTTTTTCGCTTACATATAATAGCCATTTCGACCAATACTTCTGGGCCTTATTACCATTAAATCTTAGGGAGAAGGTCAGCATTTCCATTTTGTATATTTCTTTTACAGTGGCCGTCCATTCTCTCACCATCGGTGGTTCCCTGTTAAGCCATTTTCTTGTTATTGATTTTTTGCTGGCTGTCAGCAGTATTTTCAGTAAGTACTTATCCTGGGAACTGAGATCAGTTGGCAGATTACACAAATATATAGTTTGAAAGTTATACTCAATTTCAAAACCAAGAATTGATTTTATTTCTTTAACTACATCCAGCCAGTAAGGTTGGATTACTGGCCAACACCAAAAGATATGATAGTGGTCAGCCATCACATTACTACATTGCCTCCAACATTGCCCAGATTCAGTTCCGCCACTCTGTAGATATTTTCTTCTCGGGGTTGTAAAAAACCTGATAACATTCTTCCACGCGAACTCCTTCCACTGCCCTGAACTGGTGGTTGAGGAATTAATTTGACATATGTTTAGCCACTCGTCTTCTGTCAGCGTTATATTGCTTACTTCTCCCAAGTACATTTAACATAGGATGTTGACATTTTTTTGTAAGATTGCAGGCATAAGTATATTCTAGAAACCACTCTCTTATAGATTTTACCTTTATAGGCATCAATGATAATGTTAATGAGGTCCCTGTCACATTCCTCTAGTATTTTAATGTTTCTGTCAAAATGATGCCTAAGCTGTAAGTATCTATAGAAATCATGTTTGTCTAAATCATATTTTTCCTGCAGTTGTTGGAAACTGTCCAAGCCAGTATTGGATGAAATTACACACTATGAAGTAATGCCTTTTCAGGTCATTTCCTTAAATCTCAAATCAAGCTGTGCTGGTCTGAAATCTTTATCATATTCAACCCACCTTAATAACCGTGCATTCCTCTCTAAGTGTGAATTGCAGACCTCTTTGAACCAGATGTTAAGGGGGACTTTTGTAAGGTCACTTAAATTACTTGAGTGTATAGTCTTGAGGCTTTTATCACCTATCAGAGGTTGAAGAGGGATATCAAGTTGACTCAGTTCTATTTCTTTCCATTTGGCATCATATCCCTCTTCACACCAGTAGACAACATACTGCAGTTGTGCTGCTTTGTAGTAGCTCTCCAAATATGGGAGTGACATCCCTCCTTTGTCTTTTGGTAAGTGTAAAGTTTTATATCGTACCCTTGGTTTCTTGTTCTGCCATATAAACCTAGAGATCGTCAGATTCCACTCGTTGAACTGTTTAAATGGTATTTCCACTAAAATGGACTGAAAAAGTAATAACAGTTGAGGTAGAACAATCATTTTTATAGTTTCTATTCGGTTATGCACATCAAGTGTCAGCAGAGCCCATCTGTCCAAGTCATTTTTAATTTTGTTTGTAGTAATACCATAATTTGCGTCATATATGTCCTTTCAAGTCTTGGGAATATTAATACCTAAGTATTTCATAATTTTAGTTTTCCATTTAAATTTAAACATTTTATGTATGTCTTCTTGAGGTAAGTAATTAAAAGAGAGGGTCTGAGTTTTCTCTATGTTCAATTTATATCTCGAATAGAGACCAAATTGATCAAGGCAGGACATGAGTTTAGGAAGACTGGTATCAGGGTCAGACAAAGTCACCAAGATGTCGTCCGTGTACAGACATGTTTTATATTCTCTTCCCTTAAGTGAAATTCCTATAATTTTTGGGTCTTCCCTGATTTTTTGAGCAAGTGGCTCTATAAATAACGCAAATAAGATGGGACTTAATGTGCAGCCTTGCCTGCATCCCCGTTCCAGAGGGATTTTGCTTGAAAGACTGCTGTTTATTTTAATGCGGGCCGTTGGTGAATTGTATATGGATTTAAGACATCTTATAACTTTATCATTAAAGCCGAAACGTTGTAGAGTCAAGTACAGGAACTCCCACCGCATGGAGTCAAAAGCTTTTTCTGCGTCAAAACTAATTGCTAAAGACTTTGTATTACTTCTGCTCATAATGTCCATGAGCTGTATTGCTCGCCTCATGTTGTCTTGGGTGCGTCTGTTTTTAACAAAACCCGTCTGGTCCGTGTCGATCAGGTCTGGGATGATATTTTCTAGTCTGTTAACAATTATTGAGGTGAATATTTTATAGTCAGTATTTAAAACAGAAATAGGTCTATATGAGCTGCACTTTGTCGTCCTTTCCTGGTTTTGGAAATACAGATATTGTGGCCTGTTTCCAGGATGGTGGGATCTCGCCCCCCTTTAAGTACATAATTAAAACATTTTAGTAACAATGGTGTCAGGGAGTCCCTAAAAGTCTTATACCACTCTGCTGGCAGTCCATCTCCCCCAGGTGCTTTACTCGTTTTCAGTTTTGAAATGGCCTTATCAATCTCTGCTTTTGTTATGTCTGTGGTTATTCGCTTGTTTTGTTCTATGACAATAGATGGTAAGTCTAGGGAGTCTAGGAAATGCTTTACTGTAGGGGGCTCTGCTAATTTGGGTTGACTGTGTATGTTCCTGTAGTATATTTCAAATGACTTATGTATATCTTCTGGCCTATGACACATCTGGTTGGTGGCGGGGTCTTTTATTTTGTAGATGGATCTTTCAGACTGTTGTTTTCTTAATCTCCAGGCCAATATTTTTTTCGCTCGAGGTCCATTCTCATAATAAGTTTGTTTGATATACTTAAGTTTGAGTTCCCCCTTGTCATTTAGTTTCTTATTTAGTTCTGATTTCACAACCGATATTTGTTCCAATATTGCAGGATCATTAGTCTCTATATGCTTCTGTTCCAGTGTGTCTAGTTCATTT